ACAAGAATTAATGTAACTGGAAATCATATTAAAGATACTTTAAATTATTATAAAATGTATAACATTGTTAAATATATTTCTGAAAATCCGCCAACACTTTCACCAATAGTTTTACATATGATTTGAATAAATAATTAATTTTATATTTAACCACAAATTTTATACTTTTGATTGAACTGAAAACTATAGTTAATAGATATTTTATCCAAACAATTATTGTATAAAATAAACTTAGCATCCGTGTGATTACAATAATAAGCTTATATCGTAAATAATTAAGAATTGAATATATATTGTCACGATATTTGTCTGATATAACCATTTTATTTAATAGTATTCTCTACTAGTGTAAAACATACAGTGCACGTATTCTCTATTATATTGTGTATATTATATTCTAAAACATAAAATCATTAAGGATATTTTCGTATACTGTATATACTTTTTTACTTAAATCAATATTAATGTTCAAATATATTCATAAATTTAAATATATTTATTATAAATAAATTTATTAGACATTATATTCAACTATTTAAATGTAAATTTTATGAAAATTAAAGCTAATACAATAGTCATGTTTGTAAAATTAAATTTAATACATTTATTTTGTATTATAATATATGTATATTGTTATGGTGACATTATACTAGCAATTTTGTAAATATCAAAAATTTACATTGTAATATTATAATATACATTGTAATATTAACAATTCATACAGAATCTAATATCGATTGCTTTAAAATATGTATTTATTTACAAATAATTAATGTACTTATACACTATAATAAAGTTTATTATAATAATCATAATATAATTTAGTGACGTTGAATTGTTGCATAATTTTTGTAAATTCCTTAATTTTAAGCATTCAATAATAAACTAATTCAATAAAATAATACTATGCCCTGATATAATAAAAATACCGTATATATCAAGAATATTATTCATTTTAAATGTAGTCCTACGGCACAACTAGGGTGACCCTGATCAGATCCCTGACACTTTCACACCACTGCTGGACGACGATAGAGACCAACAAATACCTCACGAGGCGTTCGGTCAGTGTTTCAGACATTGCGGTGTCTTTTGATGTGATTTCTAATTGATTTTGATTTTCACTGATTTCGGGGGACAGACGGCATGAAAATGCAAAACCACGGAAACCATCACATGGAGTCCGGGGATAAGGAGGCCGTCATCAGCAGAGAGACTGACGATCACCTGAAGTGGATTGAGGCCAACACCCCGACGTCGATGATAGACAACGCGCTGCCGGCGCTCACAGACTGTCCACACTTTCTATAAGATTTTTATATATGTTTTGAGACTCACTTTGAATACAAGAAAGTTTTGCTTTTTAAAAGTATTTTGATATTCCACTGGAAATAGAGGTGCAAGGTTATTCTGGGGTGACATGTACTGTACCTTTGATTAATTGCTGAGAATTAGAGGGAAAACTGTTTGAAAACTTGTTGTTCAGGTAAGATTAAATACTTATTCATTAGTGTTATATTAACATACTTTGTACATTGTACATCTATTAAATTATAAAACTTTTGTGTTTATATAATGTAAAATTGTACTTTATCTTTCACTTAATTTAGTGTTATCAAGGCAACCTTGCACTTGAAATTCACTATACACCATAGTAAACGTAAACTTACAAATCTAATTAAAAGCAATATATTAGGCTACTTCCACATATTGTATTAAACTAATGTTGACAAATTATTTACAACCACTAATAATCCTGGATTTATTATTTTTATTTGACAGATTATTTATTAAATTAATCCTCAAATAAAAGTGCAACACAAATACAAATGAGAAAGTACAATTCAAGTGCATTCAATATAATCATATTAAGTAATCTGAATTTTGTAATCAAATGATCTGATACTGTAAATCTTCCGAAATATAATTAGTTGTATTTAAAAAGCAATTTGTAGTAATCATAAAAACTGTTAAATTGTAATTTAATCTACTGTACTTTATCAATATTGTGTATATGATTACATGATTATTAATGCCTAGTATTATTATTAAAAACACATTGAGTGCACCAGAATGCTATTTTAAGTGCATTGGGCACACCATGTGCATTTCATAACTATTCATGTTAGAATTTCAAGGATAACTACTATTTCATTACTAAATTGTTGTTCAATTTATATCTCAGTAGCATGACATGCAAACCTCTAGTATTTGTGAAATTATATAAAAGCAAACAATTTCAGCTACTATTCATATCATTTGAAATTTGTATGTTTCAAATGCATTGAATGAATGAATATTTGAATGCAATTTATGTTTCACTATGATTGTATTATAAGTTACTAATCAAGTAATATTTGTTAAATCATTTGGATACTTAATATTTGCACTTTTAATATTTAAATTAATATTCAATAAGAATTACATTAAAACATTTGTCAAGAAATTGATTTAAAAATGTCAAACATTACAAAAAAGGTTCCCTTTTTGAGGTCATGTCTCGAAGAATGTGGTCAACCCATCAAAGCCGAGATCAAAGGTCTGTATTTGTTATGAATATAAAGTATATGATAAACATTATTAATTGTTAATATGCTATGTTTAGGTGTAATCCCTGTGTGGCTGACCGGCACTCTCCTACGCAATGGTCCGGGACTGACACAAGTGGGTGAAGACAAGTATAACCATATATTCGACGGCTTGTCGCTTATACACCGGTTCCACATCAGCAACGGTACCGTTGAATACCAGAATAAATTCCTGCGAAGCGATACCTATGAGAGCAACCTTAAGGCCAATCGCATAGTGGTGTCTGAGTTCGGGACCCACGCCTACCCCGATCCGTGCAAATCTATTTGGCAAAAGTTCCAGGCTATGTTTTCGCCCACCAGTCAAATGACAGACAACTGCAATGTTAACGTATACCCGGTTAGGGATCAGTTATATGCGGCCACAGAAACCAATTTTATTAGACGTATTGATGGCAACACTTTGGATACTCACGAGAAGGTGGATCTCTCGAAATACCTGACCATCAATATGGCGACAGCACACGTTCACGTGGATCCGGATGGCACTGTCTATAACATGGGGTCAAGTTTTGGTCCCAATGGGAAATACCATTTGATTAAAATCCCGAATACAGAGAATCCCTTTGAAAACATGTCTATCATTTGCTCCATACCTATGGAGAGGACATTAAATCCCTCTTATTATCACAGTTTCGCCATAACTGACAACTATTTCATATTCATTGAGCAGTCATTAGTTATATCTGTAGCCACTATTGCCATGTCTAGTGTAAAAGGGACTCCATTTGGGGACAGCCTTACCTGGAAACCAGAGTATAAAGTATATTATAGAATGAAATTATTCTTTAAGGAATTTTCCTAATTTTTTCAACTTTTAAATTCAGACCAAATTTCATTTGATTCAAAGAAGTGATGGAAAACTAATTGACACGAAATACAAGTCGGATGCGTTTGCTTTCTTTCACACCATTAATGCTTACGAGGAAAACAATCATTTGGTTGTAGACATATGCTGTTACCCTGATGGTAATCTTGGACCGGCATTAAGTATACAGCACTGGAAGGATGTGTTTGAAAACAATCAGAAATACGGTTACGTCACACAAGTGCGACGATTTGTTTTACCACTTAAACCACAATTGAATGATGTATTTAAATGTTAACTTAAATACAAAAATTATTTATTAATGAAATCTATTTGAATACAAACGATAGGCTAAACCGGGTGTCAATTTGGTGGACTTGGACTACACTAAAGCCAGCGCTACTATCAGTAACGATAAGTCTGCGGTTGAGTTAAAATATGAGGCAATCACTGGTTCAGGTATTTCTATAAACAAATATAACTTTTAATATAACTATTATTAATATATTGATAATTGACTGATGAATAGGTCCGGCTGTTGGGGAGCTGCCAAGAATTAACTATCTATTCAATGGCAAAAAGTATCGCTATTTCTATTCAATACTACAGAGCGATGATGATATGAAAACAAAAATTGTAATTTAAAACTAATTTTTTTATTAAATAAGTATTTTAATAATTCCTATAAATTGGGCTAAAATTTCAGATGAAATTTGATACAAAGACTAAAGAGTCGATCGTTTGGTGGGAAGAGAGCGCCATATGTTCTGAACCCGTATTCGTCGAGAATCCGAGTATTCATTATTCAGATCCTAATCATGAAGACAACGGTTTGTGTCTATTATTATAAGTTTTAGTATTTTTAATCAAATTGATGCCAATTTTATATTTAAATCCCAACATTAAAGGTGTGGTCCTGTGTTCAGTACTCTCTGAATTGGACGAAACGGAAGGCTTTCTGTTGGTATTGGACGCCAAGACGTTCACAGAGTTAGGTCGGGCCCGGTTTCGCACCAAATCCGCGATCACCGGTACTTTTCACGGATTCTTTGCGCAATAAATGACTTTTAGTTTATAAATAATTTTAAAATTTTAAATTATAACCAAATTCTAAATATCTAATGAAATAATTATAAGATATAGTAAATATATTCTTAAAAATGTAGCAAGTAAGTAAGGATTACACTATCAGGTATACATTATAATTAATTATATTACATAATTATATACATTACATGCATTACATATAAGGGTAGGTTGATTTGTTGGTCATTAATAATATAATATTGATTTGTTTTCATTTAATTTGAACACTAATAAGTCTTTTATATTGAGAATTTATTTGCATATATTAAATTAATACACTATTATAATATATCATTGTTAATTAATGAGTCATTAATTAAATATCAAATAAAAATATTATTTTAGTTCATTTTGTTTAATCATATCAAAAATGGTTTTAATAAATTATTTTGTAATCAATTATTCTATGATATATATCAAATACTATGTACAGTATTATATGCAAATGTATTTTATTTTAAAATTGTATTTTATAATTGTATTTATATTGTATTTTAAAATAAACTTTTATTCATATTAATATTATACTATAGAAATATTGTAATTTAATATAGTGAGCTGTAGTGTACTTGATCAACTCAAATTCTGAATACAAGGCTAATGTTATTGACTTCTAATTATTAAAATACACATTGTATACACCAGTAGGTTAAGTGCCTTGGGCATACCATAAACATTTAAAAACAATTCTAATTAATATTTCAAATTATATAGAAAATGATGTAAACTGTTTCATAGGTAAATTATTGCTTTATTAATAAATATGTTTAATGCCACACTACAATAACATTAAAATATTATATCATAATATGTTTTTTCGTGTAAAAATCATATAAAAAGGACATTTTATCAAATTGATTGACATCTGAACACAAGAGTTAAAATTCAATGAATAAGTTTTTGCAACTAAATTAATAGTTGTAAACCAGTTGTGAACTATTATTGTTGGCCCTGCTAAATAATATTCAATATTAATAAACGTAAAAGGAAGTGGTCTAAATGTCAGATATTTCAAAACAGGCCCCCCTTTTAAGGTCATGTCTTGAGGAATGTAGTGAACCCGTCAAAGCCGAGATCACAGGTTTGTATTGAAAATGAATTGAAATTGTATTTCAGAAAATACTCGTACTTATACTGTAATACATGTACAGTATATGAAATATGTTTACTAAGTTTTTCAGTTTTATATCATATATTTAGGTGTAATCCCTGTGTGGCTGACGGGCACTCTTTATCGCAATGGCCCGGGAGTGACACAAGTGGGTGAAGACCAGTATAACAGCGTATTCGACGGCTTATCGCTTATACACCGGTTCCACATCAGCAACGGTGCCGTCGAATACCAGAATAAATTTCTCCGAAGCGATACCTATGAGAGAAACCTTAAGGCCAATCGCATAGTAGTATCAGAGTTCGGTACTCATTGTTACCCCGATCCGTGCAAATCTATTTGGCAAAAATTCCAGTCAGTATTCTCGCCTTACAGCCAGGTGTCAGACAACTGCAATGTCAACGTATACCCGGTTAGGGATCAGTTATACGCGGCCACAGAAACCGTCTTTATTAGACGTATTGATGGCAACACTTTGGATACACACGAGAAGGTGGACCTCTCGAAGTACGTGGCCATCAATATGGCACTGGCACACGTGCACGTTGACCCCGATGGCACTGTCTATAATATGGGCTCAAGTTTTGGGCCGAAAGGGAAATACCATTTGATTAAAATCCCGAATACAGAGAATCCGTTTGAAAACATGTCTATCATTTGCTCCATACCTATGAAGAGACCATTGAATCCCTCTTATAATCACAGTTTCGCCATAACTGACAACTATTTCATATTCATTGAACAGTCATTAGTTATATCTGTGGCCAGTATTATCAGGTCTACTATAAATGGTGCAAGGACGTTTGAGAGCATTCTTGCCTGGAAACCCGAGTATAAGGTATATAATTAGTACAGAATAAAAATATATTAAAGATGTTTTTAATGTTTAAATTCAGACCAAATTTCATTTGATTCAAAGAAGTGATGGAAAACTAATTGACACGAAATACAAGTCGGAAGCGTTTTCTTTCTTTCACACCATTAATGCTTACGAAGACGACAATCACTTGGTTGTAGACATATGCTGTTTCACTAGTGGCCATATGGGGCCGGCATTAAAAATACAGCACTGGAAGGATGTGCTTGAAAACAATCATAAATACGGTTACATCACACAAGTCCGACGATTTGTGTTGCCATTAAAACAACGATTGAATGATGTGTTTAAATATTGGCCTAAATATGAAAATTAATTTTTAATTGAGTTTATTTTTATATAAACGATAGGCTAAACCGGGTATAAATTTGGTGGACTTGGACTACACTAAAGCCAGCGCTACTATCAGTGCCGATAAGTCTGTGGTTGAGTTAAAATACGAGGCCATCACTGATGAAGGTATATATGTATAAATACTATAAACTTATCCTTAAATATAACTGATATTAAAATATTAATAATTGTTTGATAAATAGGTCCTGTTGTGGGAGAATTACCACGAATTAACTATCTATTTAATGGCAAAATTTATCGCTATTTCTATTCGTTACTACAGAGCGATGGTGACATGAAAACAAAAATTGTAGTTAATACTAAGTTTATATCGTTTACTCATATTATAATTATTTTTATTATAATTTCAGATGAAATTTGACACAAAGACTAAAGAGTCGATCGTTTGGTGGGAAGAGAGCGCCATATGTTCTGAACCCGTATTCGTCGAGAATCCGAGTATTCATTATTCAGATCCTAATCATGAAGACAACGGTTTGTGTCTATTAT